CACTGCAAGCTCCGCCTCCCACGTTCACGCCATTCTCCTGCCTCAGCCTCCTGAGTGGCTGGGACTACAGGCGCCTGCCACCACGCCCGGCTAATTTTTTTTTGATTTTTAGTAGAGACGGTGTTTTACCGTGTTAGCCAGGATGGTCTCGATCTTCTGACCTCGTGATCCGCCCACCGCAGCCTCCCAAAGTGCTGGGATTACAAGCGTGAGCCACCATGCCCCGCCTAAAAAGAATCTTTAAATGTCCAATGAGAATAGAAATTATATGCTCCATTAATCAATATGATATAAAAGGGATTTAATCCTTTCAAACATTGGCAGACACATGTAAGTAAATACATAATCCTTTCAAACATTGGCAAACACATACAGGCAAACACATAATACTTTCAAACATTGGCAAACACTTATTATTCTCTGATACACTTTCCTGCAAACCTTACATGCATTTACTCATTTAATCATCACAAAAAATCCTGTGAGGTAGGGATTGCTTTTAAACTGGCTACAATTTAAAAATAAGCAACTATAAAGTGTCAATACCTTGTCATCCAAGGCCACACAGTCAATAAATGGTGGAGTTGTCAGTCCAGCTGCAGTGTCCATGGTCTTAATCATCCACCTAGAAGGCCTCTCATGTGAGGAGGTTGTATTTTTCAGTTCCTCCCAGTTTTTCTCTGACTTCTTTGGCTGATTTTCTCAATCTCTTTGTTAGAGCTCTCTTCTTTCTCCTGCTCCTTGGATATTGCTGTCTCTCAGATAATGGTTGTAGTGAAATGATGTGTGGCCAGCAGAATTCTAAGATGGCACCCAAGACTACTCTTTCCTGGTGTACATGCCCTGCATAATCCCAATGACTGTGGATAGTATGGATTTTACCCTGGGATGAGGGTATGTTATATGACACAGTTGACTTTTAAAAAGGGAGATTATCCTGGTGAGCCAAACCAAATCACATGAGCTTTTTGAAAGCAGAAAATTTTTCTCAGGCTGGTCCCAGGAGAAGTCAGAGATATGCACTCTGGTAGTCTGGAAAAAAAGCAAACGTTTATTCGTTTTATGAACTGCTCATTGAGAAGGATGACCTTCAGGAGCTGAAAACAGTCCACAGCCCACAGGTAACATGGAAATGGGGATCTCAGTCCTCCAACTGCAAAACAATTAATTCTGCCAATTTCCAGGGAACTTAGAAGAGGACAAGCCTTGATAAGATCACAGCCTTGGCTGACACCTTGATTTGGGCTCCAAGACCTTGAGAAGAGAATGCAACCATTCCTTCCTTGCACTTTTGACACAGAACTATAAGCCCATAAATGCTGTTGTTTTAAGTCCCTAAATTTGTGGTATTTTGTTACCCAGCAATACAAAACTGACATAGGATCCCACAGTGGTAGAGTCTATTTCCCTTACTAAATAAACACTATATAACTTTCACTCCTTCTTTTCCAAGTGTATGTAATAAAGACATTGTCACTTAACGACAGGGATACGTTCTGAGAAATGCTTCATTAGGTGATTTTGTTATTGTGTGAACATCATAGAGTGTATTGACACAAACGTAGACAGCATAGCCTACTATACACCTAAAGTATATGGTATAGCCTATTGTTCATAGTCTACAAACCTGTACAGCATGTTCTTACACTGAGTACTGTAGGCAATTGTAACACAATGGTAAGTAGGTGTGTAACTAAACGGGTCTAAACATAGAAAAGGTACAGTAAGCATATAGTATAAAAGATTTAAAAAATAGTACACCTGTATTGGGCACTTACCATGAATGAAGCTTGCAGGACTGGAAGTTGCTCTGTGTGAGTCAATAAGTGAGTGGTGAGTGAATGGGAAGACCTAGGTGTTGCAGGAAGTCAGGGACCCCAAATGGAAGGACCGGCTGGAGCCTCGGCAGAGCATTTAATGTTACTAGGGGTTATAAATACCCTCCTCTGTGCCTCGGACATGCACCTGGTTGTATCCATCTAGAAACTCAAGTCTGGGCTGCTCATCTTCTGGAGAGATTAGCCACAGGGGAACGAGGACATTTGGTCTGCAGCCTCTCACTTTCTCCTTTAAGACAAAGGAAAAGGGGAGTAATAGGAGATACCCCATACTTTCAACATAAACCTGTAGGAAAACCATGCCCTAAAAATTTTGAGGGCCCATCTAAAACTTTAATTTGGGAAGATTGTGTTAACTCACATGCAGTAGTATTAAAAAATGACTCATATGGTTTAGTAATAGACTGGGCACCAAAGGGCTATTTAAAAAATAATTGCTCCTCTGGCGGAAGGGAATGCCTGGAGGCTACTTTTTTATTTCTTATTGGGAGGACGAGGATCATCATCCTACTTTGCATAGGAGGTTCAGCTCATTCTTTCCCTTAAAATGGGAAGAAAAGGGCATTACTCCCCCCACCCCCAGTCTCGTATGATATTCCCCATTCTGAGCCCAGAACACCCAGAAGTTTGGAAAT